GCCTTCAAGAGGAGCCGCAGGTGCCGCCGGCGGCGCCCGCATCGCCCGCGCCGGTGCTCCCGGCTGCGAGTCGCCGCTCTTCTGGCTCACACTCCCGGGAGAAGTAAGGCGTCTTCAGAGTTGGCGGCGGAGACTGAAGGAACTACTGGCGAGCCGGAGCACCCAAAAAAGTCTCGCCTCTTCTCCCCACCTCCCACTCCAGGCACCACGTGACGGCTGCCGAGTTGAGGTGGGGGAGGCGAGCGGGGAAGGCTGGGACCGTCTTTCCACGTCCCCACCCCCTTCAGATAGCCCTCGTCTCCCGCCTCCGCAAGTCTCCGCGTGCGGGACGCCTGGCGGAGGGAGAGAGAGTAGTTTTCCGAGGCTGGAGACCAGGGAAAACGTGAGGAGGGCGCAGCAGGTGCCGCGGAACCTGGAAGGTGAGGTCGGAAGGCTGCCGCCCCAAAGGCCTCTGCTCGCACGGTCCTCTTGGCCCCCGGGGGCCGGTCGGTTCCCCGGCAGCTGGGTCCCGCCCACCCCCGCCGGGGCTGCTGGGCAGCGGGAGCCGGGAGTTGGCGGCTGGCAAGAGGGGAGCGCGCTCTCGTGCGTCTGGTGAACTTGCACACCTGCAGGCTCTCTAGGGTGTCCCGCGCAGCTGCGCTTTCTCTTCTTTCGAGAAGCCTCTCGGTCATTAGGTCGTTACCCGGATTGGTTTCAGCTGCGGTGGAGTGGGCGGGGTGTGGTGGGGACCTTGCCCAGCTCGGCGCGTTGACTCGGGGCAACCGTCGGTTCATCCGCCGTGCGCACCGCTGGAGGATGCTGTGACACTGCCCTGGTACCCTAGCCTAGGAGAAGACAGCCGTGATGAGCTCCCACTGGAAAGCAAATCAGGGTGAAGACGGGAGTTGCGCTCCTCCGTCCCCTTCCTCCAAAAGGCCAGGCAGCCTCCTCCGGCTCCATTCACAGCCACGGGTTATTAGCTACGCTCCCGCGTCCTCCCGTGTACCGCGCCTTCTCAGCCCAGGACTCGCTTGCTGGCTGACCGTCCCACCCCCGCCCCCCTCTCGTCCAAGCGACCCACCTGGAGTACTCCCGAGGACGCCACCGTGCTACGTTGGCGTTTCTGGACGCAGAGCCCTGCAGCAGGTGGTACGGGGAGCCCGCTGGCCCGCGCGGAGCGCCTCGGAGTCCCCGCCCCCAATCCCGCACGTACCCACTCCCTTCCCCCCAAACCCCAGGGGGTATCCATGTCTGTGGAAACGGCTTCAAAAGCTTTGCCCCTCTTCACCCTCTTCTCCCCCGGCCTCCTCTTGGAGGAAGCTCTCTTAGGCCGGGACGCTGATCATTTATCTCCCCAGCCAGCCAGCAGAGCAGGGCCGGAAATGGGCTTAAATGACTTTCTTGTAATTCCTCGGGAGAGATCGTTCACCGTCTGCCTCCGGCTTGTTCTCTCCCTTTGCCCCCCTCCTTCTCTCATTTCTAGTTGGTTAACCCCTCAGGGAGACGAAAATGCTTTGACCATTACTCCCCAGTCTTCAGGCGCAGATCTTACAATTGTCTGAATTGCTATTTCTGGAGCAACAGGGCCGGTTTGTTTATTAGTTTGTTTATTCCTTAGGGGAATTCGTCTTTGAAGCCCGTGTGAGATTCAAATAACTAATTGGGCCAAAGGGTCCTTGAACAGGTTCTTTTAAGTTTTCAGAGGGTGCGACTGATTGATATAAATTTTATTCAGAAATTAAAAGAATCTTAAATCTGAAAGACAATGACACAATTTTCATTTAAGACAACAAAATTCAAATATAACAAATTGCACAAATTAACCAAATAACACTGATCATACAACACTCTTTAAAGAAACAAGTGTGTAACTAAAGTCACCATATAGATCCTAAAAATATTTCTGTTATGCCTAGTTTACAAGCTCCTGTACAAAAGCCATTATAAATAGTGCACATCTAGAAAAAATACATGGTAACCTTTAAAATAGAATTTATCCTTACATATAAACAGATTTTGTAGAAAAAAGGATATTAAAAAGTAAGAATTTTTCATAGCACCAACCTTTTAAATTTTTTACAAAGTGAACATCGCAAATAGGAATTTGCTTTCATTTCTAGATTGCCCAGATTTTAATAAAAAGCGCAAGAAGATAAAAATCAACAAATAATGTTGAGAATTACAGAGATACACTAAGTAGAAGATGTAAGGAAATGTTTGGAGGGAAAACAATTACAGCATTTCTGATACACATTGCTTCTGATCAGTGTCACACTTCAGTACCTTTATAGTTTTCAGTAAAAGAGTTACATTTATTATTAGAATCTGAATCTCTCTGGCAACAACTTTGAAATTGCACTAGAATTAGTTTCTATCAGACTGAGATTGTAAGATGGAGACTGTACAGAGAGCGCTCTGGTTTTCCAGCCGGCCCTGTTTTCAGTTCACGGAGTGTACCCACAAACAATTTGAGGACTGGGACAATGACCTGAACCAAAACTTGAGTTGGAATTTTTAAAAAATATATTATCATCAACTTCTAAGACTTAGTACATCATTTCAAGAGCATGGCACTGATTCAATTTATTGCTGTTCTTTTTTTTTTTGCAACAAATATAATTTCTTTTCCCCCCAAATTTACAACTTCTGTACACGTATTCCTAAAAAAGTGCAAAATTAAGACTTCTGTATCGTGGGTGTGTTTACTTTTACTCCTCACAGAACACAACAGATAGGGTGTCTTTAGTGCCCTGTCAGAGAAGCAGGCGCCAGTGGCTGCTCGCTGTGACTGACAGCGTGGGCTCTGGTACTGCAATCGTTTACTGTTGTCATCTCTACCTGCCCCCCTCCCCACCCCTGTTTCTTAAGTGCTCCATTTCCAGCTCACTAAGGGAAGAAAAAAGTCCTTTATACATCATTTGAACCCTGACTTGCACAGGAAGAGAAGCTATCATATAAAGAATCACTCAAAGATTCCAAATTGTCTACCCCAGGCCTATCGGAGCTACTCAAAGAAGCCTCTTCATTTTTTTCTTTTTCTTCCTTTTGTCCTTCAACCTTGCTCAGAGAGTTCTTCTCTTTTTGTAATAAAATCACAGTATTGCTGTTATATTTATTGAAAGACTCCAGGGAAATTTTACATAATCTAGTCTCGGGATCTTCTCTGGTTTCTTCAGCTTGTTTCAATTTCTGCAATAAAAAGAGGAAAACATGAGAAACATATTTCTTTGGAAAAATCAAATTATTCTATCTAATATTCAATTATTGTCTGTCTAAAGTATAATTTAAAGGGATAGCGAGAACCTACAAGTCCTTAACAATCCTCTCGTATAATTTAATGTAATAAAAAAGCCAATTTTAGGGATAAACCAAGACTTTAATCATTTTACTGAGATAAATAGGCCTCAAATTGCAAATCAGTTAAGTGCCACTTAATTTCATTTTAAATGGATCCTTTTGAAATTTGTTAAGGTAAAGTGCCTTATTTTTCTTTTTTTAACATTTTTTATTGATTTATAATCATTTTACAGTGTTGTGTCAAATTCCAGTGTTCAGCACAATTTTTCAGTCATTCATGGACATATACACACTCACTGTCACATTTTTTCTCTGTGAGTTATCATAACATTTTGTGTATATTTCCCTGTGCTATACAGTGTAATCTTGTTTATCTATTCTACAATTTTGAAATCCCAGTCTATCCCTTCCCACCCTCCACCCCTCTGGCAACCACAAGTCTGTATTCTCTGTCTGTGTAAAGTGCCTTATTTTTCTTAAAGTTTCAAACTCCTTTCTTTTCTTACTAAATATTTTAGTTGTTTTGTTCTAAATATGGATAGGGACTGAATTTCAGCCAGAAATGACAGTTCTATGTTTACAGAAAGGCATATGATCCCTTAAATGGCCATAAAATTTAAGTACAGGTTGAACTTGTCAGAAGCACTGTCATGTGTGTATTTTGTCCCTGTACAAGTCTGAAATGCTATTTGAAAGGGATCCCAGGGCTGTGACTGCAGATTCTTGAAGGCCCAGGGGCTTAAAAATCGTAGTAACAGATCCACACCTCAGTGGCCTCCCTCCCTAGGAGGTTCCAGTAATACCAGCTGAAACAGGGATATTTATAGGCTGTGACTGGTATTCTCTAGGATTTTGTAAAACACGGCAGTCATGGTTGATAACTGTAGCAGGTAAACTCTGTAGACAGGAATATAGTCAGTTGTTCAGGGAGCTCCTAAGATTTGAGGTGAGGGTGAGAGGGAGGCTTAGAGGCAAAAGCCAACAAGTGTGGAGGTCTTAAAGCCACTGCCACACGCTCTCATCTTCTTTTCCTCTTTTAGGCAAAAATTCTGTCCAAACACAAGCAAGAAGTAGGGACAGGGCCTTAGAGATGGTAACAGTAGCTATCACTCATTAAGCATCTACCATGTAAAAAACACTGAATGTATTTGACCTGTAAGCCTTTTCACAAGCCTGCAAGTTACATGTCCCCATTTTAAAGAGAAGGAAAGCAAGGCTCAGAGTGACAGGGTTATTTTCCCAAGGTTGCCCAGCAAGTGACGGAGAACAGGCTTTGAATTCCTGTCTGGCTGCCTTCCATGCTCTTGTTTCTACTAAACCATGCTCTTATGTAATCAAGGACAAGATTCTCTGTATTTTTTCTTCCATTTTGCCACCCAAATATTCCAAACCATCTCTGTTTCTATTGCTACTGTCCAAGGCCATAACATAGGCAATTCTATCCCCCCTCCCCACCATTGCCACAATAGATGTCAAAGGTACAAAGAGGAAACAGTTTTCGGATCTGGGGGAAAAACAGGCATAGCCCACAGTCTGAATTTTCACATGCTAAATATTTAATAGAAACAGAAAAGAAAGATACAGAAGTGGATGGCTCCAGTGTCCCAAGAGCAGACTCAGAGTTTTTCTCTCTCTGCTGTGGGAAAAGGCATAATTCTATGGGAATATTGGAAAGTCATCCTTGAAGTGGTGCTTCTTTCATTATATTATTAACGCACAGGAACATGACTCATGGAGCTAATTTTCAATCTGAAATGGCTACTTGGAAACCAGAGATGGGCTGAGGAACAGGTTCCTAGGAGATTACAGAAAAGCGGCTCCGTAGTTAGGAATGCCTCTTGCAAGAGCCCCTTTTCGTGCCAAGCCAATTTAAAGCATTTCTTTAAAATGAACTGTAAAGTACAGTGCAAAAACTACATGGAGGGAGTAGGAAAGCTTTGATTGTACCCAATGTAGGTAAATAGAGGCCATTCAATGTCATTTCCTCCTCACCTATCTTCTCTCTTTTTCTTTATTCAAGAACCACAGTCACTTTTCTGGCCTATTTCTGGTTAGTGTGGATCTCAAATTTATTCAATAAACACTTAACTAGAGAAGCTACCAAGAGGCAGATGGAAGGTTCTGGTGCTGAGGATACACAGCTGAGTAAAACTGTGTCCTGTAGAAGGCGGAGTGAGGCCTGGGAGGCAGGCCGACCTGGGCTTGAATCTCAGAGTCCTTTCACTGGCGGTATCAGTGCCCATGAGCAAGCATCCTTCCTCAGGTAGAATGGTGGTAAGACACACCTTCATTTCAGGTTGATGTAAGTATTACAAACAAAACACTTCAAGACCCTGACACACAGTAGGAGGCGCTCCATCCATGGTGCGATAAATAAATAATTGTAAGATAAATGTAAGATTGCATTCTTATTCTAGATCAGTGGGTCTTCAACTGTCCTCTCCAGACACTTGCAGTGTCAGCATCACGTGGAGCTTGTTGGAAATGCAAATTCTTGAGACCCACCCAGAATGACCACATCAGAAATGCTGAGTTGCAGCAAATGTGCTTAACAAGGTTACCAGGTGATTCTGATACATGTTAACTAGCACTTGAGAATCACTAGTCTAGAAGAATTTGTAGTCTTGGAGGGAAGCCAGGCAGGTGAAAAGTGTAACTCAGTGTATTAAGGCAGCGATGGGGAAAGGGTTATTTATCATTCAAACACCCACTGTCTATGGGACAAAATCAGTGCATCTTGTTTTCTATGTGTTTCATGCTTGTAGGTTTGGTTCTTCAATTAATTATGACAAAGGCCTACACTGGCTGGGGAGGTGATGGAAATGAAGGAATGGCCCAGTCTAAGAAAAAATCACATGGCCTTCTCATTTTTCCTTTTATTTTCACAGTTTTGATGAGAGGTGGGTAGTGAAATATTTCTTGACCATGAGACCAACATCACGGTAAGAGTGACAGTGAGGGCACACTGTCATTCAGCCTCAGTGTTGGGGAGATGTAGGCAGTGGTGAGGACTGTTGTCAGCTCAAGAATATGTGCCTCGTTTAAATACTTAAATTTAGGGTATTGCTGCTGTGCGGAAACATGGGTCCAGATCTTTGATTTTTAAGGTAAGGCCATAAATCTAGAACAATATTTGCTTATATCTAAAATCCTCTAATTTTAATGATTTGCTTATTTTAAGAATAAACCAAAACAATAACCAAAAAGCCCCACTGTGTATGTCAAACAGCAATCGTTGCATTGTTTGAACTTGTAAGCTAGAGATCATGTTTTACACTTTTTAAAAAATCTCCTAATTGACCTCCTTATTCCCCTTCTCCCACCAGTTTACCCTCTAAAAACCTAGCCCAGTGCTGATCATCAGTAGATTCTCGATGGAGACGTAATGACAGATTCAACTTTTGTCTAGCACTGGCGGAGTCTCAACTGCTGGCTTGGGTTTCTCCAGTGGTCCTGCCAGCTAAGAATAAAAGCACGAAAGTAGCTTACTTTCCTGCCTCAAGTTAGAAGCCTACGGAATTAGCCTCAATTTTGTCTTGTCAGATCTCAGGTATTCTTAAAATGTTGAAGTCACATAACATTTAAACTGAAAACATAAGAAGGGACCGAGGTCACACAGGAATGTGCTAACGATGGCTCTGCCGGACGGTAACAGCACAGTGCACATTAGCTTGCAGCAAATGTATGTGAAGATGCTTTGAAAACTAATCACGGTAATAACAGTTAGCATTTAATTGAGTGCCTGTTCTGCACAGACACTCGGCTAAGCATGCTGCGTGGATTATCTGTTTTCATCCTCACATCAGTTCTATGGGGTAGGTGTCATTATCATCTCCATTTACAAGCAATCGAGGCTGGAGGGAGTTAAGCAACTTAAGGTCATAGAGCTGTGCGGGGTGGAGTCTGGGTTTGGACCCAGGCAGTCTGCTTGCAGAGCCCAAGCTCTTCTATCCTGGAAATGAGTTTTACAAAGCAGCCGATATTATCTTTAAGGGGAGCATCTGACATAAAAATCATGGAGTGACAACAGTAACAGTAATGATAACAAAGCCAGTAAAGATAAGTGATGAAGACTGTGTGGGTTCCATAAAACATCTCCTTCACAGAGTGTGCTTCATCCGAATCATGATAAAATGAATAGACTATATTTGCTACCTATAGGTGGCAACAGTTGTACAGTTCACTTTTTGGTGGGGCCTTTGATTGTGCTTGGGAACAACAGTAGGGCTAAAAAGGGTGAGAATGCATTTTCAAGTTTAAAATAAATAGCTTTGCTTATTCTCAAACATTCTCCTGTCTTTAGTGTAATGACGACATTATTAATGAGAATTTAAGCAAGAAGTAGATAGTGACATATTGCCCAGAAATCCCTTGATAATTATACATTAACTAATTCCTTGAAGTCAAACAATGAATCAATCAATCAAACCACTCTATTATATGAATAATGTGCGGTCTTGATTCTCTGAGAGTTTCACAGAAGAGGGGGCTCTTGGAATGATTTTGAAGGGTGAATAGTATTAAGACATTTAGTAAGTAAGAAGGAGGGCATTCCAAGAAATTTCCATTTAATGATCTCCTACTGCTTCTGTGGGCCATTCTATAGTCTATTTCAGGTCTATCTCTCGCCCTTTTAGACTCTGTAACGGACAGATTCACTGTAGAAACAGAAACACAGAGATATGCCTATCCCAGGGGGTTCTAGGAATTCCAGCGCAGATTCAGGAAGTATCAGCCAAGTAACCTGGGTTACAAACAACGCATAGTTTTTATTTCCAAAGAGCTTTGCCCATCTATGATCTCACTTTGCTCTTGTATCAGCCTGGAAGGTGAGGAAGGCTGATGTCAGCTATAGTTTACCTGGGGGTATTTACAGAATCTGGGGTTCACAC